CCCCGCCTGAGACATCCTCACAATCTGCTCTCCAAACGAAGGATGTTGGGCCCAGAAACAAGCAAACCGCCTGAGACATCCCCACAACATACTGTGTATGAGTATGGGTGGGTGTGAGTATGAGTATGAGTAAGAGTATGACTAATACTGTGTATGAGCAACCGTCGGAGTATGACTAATACTGTGTATGAGTAAGTCTGGGTATGAGTGAGTCTGTGTATGAGTACGTATGGGTGTGAGTAAGTCTGTGTATGAGTAAGTCTGTGTATGAGTATGTCTGAGTGTGAGTAACTCTGAGTATGAGTAGGTCTGAGTATGAGTAAGTCTGCTTATGAGTAAGTCTGTGTATGAGTAAGTCTGAGTATGAGCAAGTCTGAGTATGAGTACGTCCGACAGGAGGGGAGGAGGAAAGAGGAGGAGGAAGGAGAGGGAGTAGGAGGCGTCCAAGTAATAACAAGAACCCCATCTTAGGATATGGGGAATATTTCCCACATGAGATGTATACACATCATGTGTTGCCCAACATGTTGAAACGCATTTTAATCAAGAAAAGAATAACAACAATGTGTCCCTGATTTTTCATCAAAGAGTGAACTCAGCTGTGTGTTGCCCGCTATTTCCAACCGAAGACCATTCAAGCACACACTAGTTTCCACATTAATTAGCCTGACGAAAGACCCAACCATATGCAGTTGTGAATACCGCAATTGTGAGTACCATTTTCGCCCGCGCTCCCTATGGGGCCACGAAACGTGTGAGGGGTGTGCCAAAATGGGGCGCGTACCGCATGCGGGCTGCGCCACTGGGATCTTGGGTGGAGCTCCCTATGGGGCCACGAAACGTGTGAGGGGTGTGCCAAAATTGGGCGCGTACCGCATGCGGGCTGCGCCACTGGGGCCTAGGGTGGAGCTCCGTATGGGACCACGGAACGTGTAAGGGGTGTGCCAAAATTGGGCGCGTACCGCATGCGGACTGGGCCACTGGGACCTTGGGTGGAGCTCCGTATGGGGCCACGAAACGTGTGAAAGGTGTGCCAAAATTGGGCGCGTATCACATGCGGGCTGCGCCACTGGGACCATAGGTGGAGCTCCCTATGGGGCCACGAAACGTGTGAGGGGTGTGCCAAAATTGGGCGCGTACCGCATGCGGGCTGCGCCACTGGGACCATAAGTGGAGCTCCGTATGGGGCCACGAAACGTGTGAGGGGTGTGCCAAAATTGGGCGCGTACAGCATGCGGGCTGCGCCACTGTGGCCTAAGGTGGAGCTCCGTATGGGGCCACGAAACGTGTGAGAGGTGTCCCAAAATTTGGCGCGTACCGCATGCGGGCTGCGCCACTGTGGCCTAAGGTGGAGCTCCCTATGGGGCCACGAAGCGTGTGAGGGGTGTGCCAAAATGGGGCGCGTACCGCATGCGGGCTGCGCCACTGGGACCACAGGTGGAACTCCCTATGGGGCCACGAAACGTGTGAGGGGTGTGCCAAAATTGGGCGCGTACCGCATGCGGGCTGCGCCACTGGGACCTTGGGTGGAGCTCCGTATGGGGCCACGAAACGTGTGAGAGGTGAAGATCATGGTGGGAGGAAGGAGGAGGGGAGAGAGGAGGAGGAAAGAGAGGAGAGGAGAGGAGGAGGAGGAACGCGGGGCGCCGTCTCTTCAAAACGAGGACCCAACACCACAGGATGGTTGGGACAAAAACAAAATGATCATAAGAATAACAATAATATTAGTAATAATAATAATAGTAGTAATAATAATAATAGTAGTATTAATGATGAACGCTGCGTGTTACGGCTTCCTGTGTCATAATGAATTAGACACGCAAGGTGTTCCAATGGTTCTGTTGCGAGGATTGTGAAAAACCTCTTGTTTCTACAATGGCACCCAAAAAATCAGTAATACATAATTGTGCGTTACAGCCCTATACGCCGTGGACAACGCGAAACCTGTGCTGGGCAAGATCCAAATATTTGAAACCGTGCTTCCGAACAAGATCACATACTTCCAAGAATTCACCATCTGTTCCAACAGAAGCGCTGCGTTTTCAAATGCTCCCATGCGTTTCAAAAATTCGGGCCGCGCAGTCGGCCGACGGGCGGCGAGCAGCAAGAAAAATTTGAAAACAAACAATGAAAGCACAGTGTTACCCAAAAAGTTGGGATAACACAGTTGTGCTGCTCTTGTGTCCAACCACAGCAAATCTAATATGGTGCGTTTCCAAACATTCCCAGATAAAAAAAATCTATACAACTATATATATATATATATATATAGATATGTGTGTATACTTAGGGGGTACTAAAGTTTTTGACCATAAGATGAGAATTGCCTCGCTGGTCACGCGTGCCGCGGAGGACCGATCAGGATGCAAAGGTGCCTTGATGCGGATTCGCGAGCCTTTGTGGGCCCTCTGGGACGGCCAACCAGTGAACCGAGAGCGACCGCATTGGAGAAGGATGCCCAGGGTCTCACAGCATCAATGCAACAAGGAATACAATGAAACATCGCGTTGGCATGATAAGGACAGGGTCGATGGGGATGATGACACGGACGATCAAACGTGACCCAAGCGGAGTGGTTTACTGTGAATGGGTTCAAGTCGGAGTGTTTTCCGGCCCTATTGTAAATGGGACGGAGTAATTATCACCCTGTTTTAAATATATATTATTATATTCTTACAGGGTGAGAGCCCATCGGAGTCGAACCGCCGCCCGACCCAAAACATGTCGCTAAGATTCTACGGGGGGGCAGGGGGCGTCGACAGCATGACGTCTTATGGTCAAAACTATAGTACCCCTCGTGTAATGCTAGGCTTGTTTAGCGCTTCTTGTAAATATCCACATGGGAACTACTATAATACGCTGCGTCCCACCGTTATTTTAACGAGGATCAATATCACATAAACAAGGCGCTATGGTTCCCAAATGTTTTATATTGGCTCGCGGCCCGCCGCTCGTCGGCCAGCCGCGCCGCCCGAAACCTTGAACAATATGGGGGCAATCGAACATACCGCACTTTTTCTCTGGAGATGGAAAAGGATAAACTATTTTAACTGTTGGGAGCTACGTGGCAAACACTGTTCCACATGCTCGGAGCCTGCGAACACACATGTTTCTCGCGCTCCATGACGCAACGCGCTGTGAAACACGATAGGTTATTAATAACCGTTCTGCGTCACTGTGAAACACCAACTTTTGTTCCACCATCTTCGCATCATATTACGTGGGACATCTTGCGTTGACATGAAGCAAGAGAAGCTGGAACACACACACACACACACATACCGTGTTCATTCACTCCTCAACCAAACATTGCACATCACAGTGGTTTGATTCATACTGCTGAAAATATGGTAACACGCACAGCTGTTTAAAATTACTTTCAATTGGGTGTGACGTTTGGAAACGTCGCTTTGCAACAGGCTGACTAATAACAACAGGAACCACCTACGTGTGAATCATGTTCGGCTGATTCTTTATTGAACAGAGCCCACTGGTTGTATTAGTTTCTGTTGACGCACTGGAAGCACTATGTGTTTATTATTCGTAATACGCTGATTGTGCTGGAAACAACAGGTTTACCTCGGCTTACCGTTCATAGCCAAGCCAAAAGTGTACAAACACCTTCTGCGCGCACAATTAGACGTGCAACGCTTTTGTAGATACACATACATACATACCTACGCACATACATGCATGCATGCACACATACATACATACGTACGTACGTACGTACGTACTTACATGCATATATACATACAAACATACATACATACATACATACATACATACATACATACATACATACATACACATATACATATACATATACATATGCATATACATATACATATACATATACATACACATACATACATACATACATACATACATGCATACATATACACACATACATACACAATTACAGAAACCAATGGAAACGCACATCAATGTTCGGCGATCCGTTGAAACGCATTTGAACATCGATTAACAATTACTTATTGGGTTTGAGGTGCGCCCTTCATCTTCTTGAATTCTATTCGAATTCACTGATAATCCCGTCGATCTGGAGTCTTTTTGTTCCTGAAAGCAAGTCGTTAGGATCCGATTGAAATCCAACAGCAATCCTGTGGATTCAGAATTCGCTCCGTTCTTTTGGGATGTGTTTGAACATATTTGAAAATCCAATCGGAATCCTGCGGATTTGGGCTCCGCTCCCTTCTGATTGAAATCCCTTTCGGCTGCTCATTAGACCCAGAAGGAAATCTGGTGGATGTGGAATCCACTCCATGTGCATTGACATCCAAATCAAATCCAATGAGCATTCAAAAAGACATGTTGTGGATGCGGAGCCCGCCGAATTCCTGTTCAAACGCATTTGAAATATCATTAGAATCGCTTGCAAACCCTGTTGATGCGAGATCCGTCTCAGTGCTATTGAAATCAAATTGAGTCAAAGTACAATACGATTGACTTCTTCGGGGAGAGAGGAGAGAAAGAGAGAGAGAGAGAAACAAACTGGAAAAACAAACAAAAACAGAAGAGAGAGAGAGAGAGAGATAGAAACAAAAAAGAGGTAAGGGAAGAAAGTAGGAACACACATATACACACAGACAACCTAGACAACGATACCACCCCCACGCCCACCTCCCCTCCCCACCCCCTGGTCGCGTCACGCTTCGCGCAGGCGCCATCTGGGATTTGGCCGTTCTTAATACTCCAGCGCCGGCGCGAATCGATATGGTATAAAAACAACGGTCTCCTGGGATGTCCTCGTAAGAACGATTAAAGGCTAGTGAGCCCAAACAGAAGTCCATTGAGCCGGATTACGCCCAGGATTAAGCGATGTTAAGCTGGACTAAACCGCATTAAGCAGGACTCCGCGGGATCAGGCCCGATTCGGCTGGCTGTCGACCTCAGATATGCCAGCACCGATGCTGAATTCAACCTCCAAGGAGTTGCACCGTAATCTGTGTGGGGGCGGGAAGGATCAGAGAGCCAAC